CCAAATAATTGTGCATTTTATATTTCTTCTTTAAATTAAATAATAAAAAAAATTTAATTTTAATAAAAATAATATAATATTAATAAATATAGTGAAATATTATGAAAATAGAATATTCATCATCACTAATAAAAAAAAATTTATTTAGATTTCTTAATTTAAAATATTCCTTAGAAATTTAATGTTAAATGATCTGATCATTTAAAAAGTGAACTTTCAACAACAATTTTGAATATTGATTTTTGCTTATTTACCAAGCAAAATAGCAAATTCAGACTCCCGATTCAATTCAAGATTATGTAATTTTAAGTTTCTTTTTCTACCGCTGGAATAAATTTTACTTGCCTCTCTATTTCTAGCAACGGATGCAATTTCTACAATTCTACGGTCGCTTGAAAAATGAGGAAATTGCAGCTGCAGCAATACATTTCCTTATTCCGAGTTTGCTGTGCGATCGACCGCGCACACTTGTTCCTTTTGTTACCTGGACTCGGCGGATTCGAAAATAAGCATCCAATTTGCAAGTGCACGCGCCTAGTCGTTTGAATATATTTTATATGCAATGCGATTCATTAAATGTTTCTACGTTCCTGGAGACGGCGGATTGTTACATAGGATAGGTATACGCGGCGAAAAGGAACTAGGGAACGAGCAATCAACTTATTAGAGCATGAAACACGTGCTGCAAAATGCACTCGAGTGAGGAGCACACATGCAATTGGATAGACTATATTGAAGAGCCAAGGGGAAATCTAATGGCAGGTTCCTGATATAGAAGGAGAGATTGAGCTTGATTAGCCTTTTTAATTAAAATTAAGTTAGAAATTAAATAGCTTCTTTCGTCATAATTATTTTAATGACAAGGTTCAATAAGTTGAATGCAAGGAAATACCAAAATTGATAATGTGCAAGTTCCAAAGCGGAAGTCCATCTTAATTTTGTTATTACTCCAAGTTCTAATAAACAATAATTAGACCCTTGTCACTTCCGCGCAAGTCGCCAGGTAAAAAACACTAATTAATAAATGGCCTCTTGTCACTTGCATGAATTAGCTCTGAAATTAAAAGTTAAATATATACTCAAGCGTAATAGGTCCATTATTATTATTAAATGAGTATTAGGCAAAAGTTTGATCATTAAGCCATTTTTCGCAAATTTATTCACTTCAAATGACTTCAAACATATTTTTAAATATTATAAATGCGTATAATTTATTCCTTGTTATTAATTTCAGATAAAAAATATGTAACTGAAACATATGAATAATAAACGTGCTTATAAGTTTCGCTCAATTGTGAGTAGAGATACTGGAGATATAGAATGAATTTAGAAGTTCATTTCACTCCGCGAATAACAAGTAGCTCCTTCATTAATATTCAAGATGAATTTCTCACAATGTATTCCACTGCTTTGCGCAGTTAGGGCACAACTCTAGATTGTATTGTGTATATCGATTTGATCACTTGGAAGATATTGCCAGACGTGGTGATTTAGCTCAGTGCTAATTACACAAGGAGCCATACTTTCATTAAGACCTGCGTGGATTCATGTGCGAGTTCGGCGCTCACTTCCGCCGCAAACTTGTTGGGATGCAAAAGTGGCTCTCTCAGTTCAATTAACTCGACAAACATCTCTCTCTGAAACATAGTTTGCTTTGCTGACTCGGTCGGTCGTTTCGCTAGAAATGCTGCTCGCTCGCTGCACCAGCAAGGTTTCTAGTGTTTGCGTGTTTTCCATACATATAAATGCATTACTTTGCAAGCAAAGGAAAGAGGCAATAATTTTTCATGTAATTAACAGTCGAGCGAATTGCAACGGACTGCAAATGAAGTTTCAATGCAACTCTGCTCTGAAGAGAGCTTTTTTTCAGCTCAGAAGTGGAAACGAGATTGACTACACATCGAGAGGCAAAGTTTATTAAAAGTTCAGATTTTTTTCTATGGAGTGGATAGGGTGATCCAGAGTAAACCAGCTAAAATTAACCCCTCAACCCATTTTTATCATTATGGGGTTGATATTGGAAAAATTGAGCGAGTGCTTTTTTCTAGATTGGGAAAAAAATGGATGAAGTTAACAACTTTTAAAGTTTCCCCACTTGCAGCTCTTTCAAAAACGGTTGAACACATAAACGCTGATCAAAAAAATTATTTAATCTTTAGGATTTTCATTAAAATTATTTCTATTTTTTTTTTTTATTTTATTATAAATAGTCTGAAATAGATTAAATAATCCTGTATTTTGCTGGATTCTTACGCGTCCTTTCTAACTTGCCATGGATGTTGATGGACGTTAAAAGTATAGTTTACACTTTAGAAATAAGGACTAGTAATGACAAGGATTAAAATAATCCAATATTCTGCAAGATTTTTACTATACCTTATTTCCCATGCGCCGCTATAATTTGAGGAATAAAAAAAGTTATGAAAATTTCAGTTTCAAAATTAACGACTCATTCTATAAATTTAATCATTCTTTCTCTTTTTAAATTGCCATGATTGTTGTTAAACCTTCAAAATATAGTTTACACTTTATAAATTAGGACTAGCAACTGACAAGGATTAAAATAGTCCTATATCCTGCAACATTTTTACTACTCCTTATTTCCAAGGCGCCGCTTTAATTTTAGGAATAAAAATAATTGTGAAAATTTCAGTTTCAAAATTAACGACTCATTCTATAAATTTGATCATTCTTTCTCTTTTTAAATTGCCATGATTGTTGTTAAACCTTCAAAATATAGTTTACACTTTATAAATTAGGACTAGCAACCGTCATGGATTAAAATAATCCTATATTCTGCAAGATTTTTTACTACTCCTTATTTCCAATGCGCCGCTATATTTTAAGGATTAAAAAAAGTTACGAAAAATTCAGTTTCAAATTTAACGACTCCTTCTTTCAAATTCATCCTTCTTACACTTTTTGGGTTGCCATGATTGTTGTTAAACCTCAAAATATAGTTTACACTTTATAAAATAGGACTAATAACTGACATAGATTAAAATAATCCTATATTCTGCAAGATTTTTACTATTCCTTATTTCCAAGGCGCCGCTATAATTCGAGGTATAAAAAAAATTGTGAAAATTTCAGTTTCAAAATTAACGACTCATTCTATAAATTTAATCATTCTTTTCTTTTTAAATTGCCATGATTGTTGTTAAACCTTCAAAATATAGTTTACACTTTATAAATTAGGACTAGCAACCGTCATGGATTAAAATAGTCCTATATTCTGCAAGATTTTTACTACTCCTTATTTCCAAGGTGCCGCTTTAATTTTAGGAATAAAAAAAATTGTGAAAATTTCAGTTTCAAAATTAGCGACTCCTTCTTTAAATTTCATCCTTCTTACACTTTTTGGGTTGCCATGATTGTTGTTAAGCCTCAAAATATAGTTTACACTTTAGGAATAAGGACTAGCAACTGACAAGGATTAAAATAGTCCTATATTCTGCAAGATTTTTACTACTCCTTATTTCCAATGCGCCGCTATATTTTGAGGATTAAATTTTCCAACAACTTTCAACAGCTTTCAATACAAATTAAACGTTTGTATCTACAAAAAGCTGATCTCATAACTTGTTGATCTCTTGTATAACTCAAGCGCACAAGAATCGCCAAACGAGTTTAAGCCCGAGCTTTTGTGGTAAAAGTCGAGAGGAAAAATTACGAGCAAATTCAGAGAAAAATATTCTTTTTCTAGAGCTTCAATAAATCTGCTCTCAATCTGGTGGAGAGCCCATTTATTTACTTTTTGTGTGCCGGGCTTTGATGCGCTGAGCCGGAAAGCTGCCGGAGCATTTTTTGCACCGTTTCGGTGCTCTTGAGATTAATCGCAGCAACGCGATATCTCGACTCGGGGCTGCTGCGCCGCAAGAAACACAATAATTAATCGCGTCTGCCGTTTTCTCGGCGTTTAATTATATCGCTACGCCTTTTAAGAGGCAAAATTGCGAAAACGTGCCCAGAGGCGTTTTTGCGGCAGTTTGTGGAAAATCTGCCTCTCACGTTGCTTCCAGTGTAGTCTAATTTTAATTAACTCGATCTTAAAATAAATACATTGAAGCGAACCTGGCTCAGATTATTTCCATGGAACGGATTATACGTTGGAAATAAATGATCTTGCATTCATCTTTTAAAGGAATTTATCCCAAACATTTCCTTATGCTTTTCCTAGTTTAGATATTTTGATAAATTGAGAATAAGAATCTTTAATAATATAATATAATATGCAATTCTTTGAATAAATTAATCTAATGAGCCGCTTTATAAATGGTCTTGCTGGAGATGATGAATTTAGCACTTTAAAAAAAATATAATTGATTGAAAAAATATCCTGTGTAAATTTTTTAAAGGGTAAAACATGATTTGGGAAAAAAAAACTCATAATCGTTGATCAGGCCCAAATCACTGTCAACTCAGTCCTGTGAAAAAGGGTTAAAATATTCTAGGGTATAATTAATTTAGACTTTTAATTACATAAAAATGCTGGATAACAAAAACGACAAGTTTAAAAATTGTCGATTTTGTTATCCAGCATGTTTAGACAACATAAAATTGAATTTTAAACTTGTCTAGAAAACGCAATTACCGACGAGACTGTATTTTTTTCCCAAGAATTTTCCGTCATCAAAAGCCGCTCTTTTTTATTCAAATGAAATTACACCCTTTTAAAACGGTTCGTTTTTGCCTCGGAATTTAAACAAATCAGGCTGAATACAGCGCTTGTATGCAAACAAATTAACGCCTGATGCAATTACAGGGGTGGAGAGAGAGCAAGAAGTTGCATTAATTTCCAACTGCTCTTGGCTTTTCCGCCCTCTCCATCTTTTTTTGTCTCTCTCTCGTCTCGTTTGTTGGTTGAGCTGCTCTCTTTTCGCCTCTGGCGTAAATAATAATTTAACGTTCTCCCTACTCGCCTGGGTGCCAATTAAACAACACAAATGACGCCCTCTCTGCACTCAACAATCTGTCAACAGGTGCTTTCTTGCTTACAGGTCGAGTCGTGGCCGCGGTCTTCGTCATGCTGAACCAGCAGGACTACGAGGACCTGGACTATGGAAATGTCACGCCAATCTACACCATCGGCTCCGACTTCATCGCTCAGTGGTTAGTACACAATATAATTATTTCTTTGAAAACACATTTTATAGGTTTTCATAGAAGTCTGTTAAAAAATACACAATTTAATAAGCTAAATTTTTTACCCAGTTCTGTACAAAACTTTAATAGTAATTAAAAACAATTTTTTAATACATTTTTTTAAGGAAATCAGAAAATTAAAATATTGAAACGGTCTAATATTTTTTTTAAAGGTCTGGAATTGTCGTGATAAAAACACACCGGAAAAATATTTGTGTGTCAAAAAGTTGTAAAAAATCTTATTTGCTTTAGTCCCAATTATTTTGTGTTGGAATAACAGAATTTTCATGAATAAATTATCAGAATAATTTGCAAGTAATTTAATTTAATTTAATAATTTAATTATAATTTCGTTGATAATTAACTTATTAAAAAAAAGTTAAAAACACTAAAAAATTCTTTTTTCCAATTATTAGAAAACACCTTTTACCTTGAAAAGTTGTTTTCACTTTTGCCAAATAAATAAACTTCCCAGCTATAAAATTAATAAAACGCTCCTTTCGTTGAACGATTTTGTCATTTGATTAGTTTTCATTCAAGGAGAGCCATTCAAATTTATAAACCGCATTGAAATGTCGCATCGGTTTTGCTTTCAAGATTGACGTTTTTCTTTCACTTTCTGAGAGCGCGGCAGGTACACGAAATTACATTTGCCGGCGCGTTCTAAATAATACACTTCAAAAGCAAGCCTACAGCACATGACGAGTTGTTCTCTAATCATCCGCCGGAAAAGTAATCTAATTTACCAGCAGCTACGACAGCAGGACGGGCGGATCAAGGGAGGAAAACGAAACGGGAGAAGAATGCCTGGCTGTCATAAAAGTAGATCCCCTTCGCGGCGGAAAAAAAATAAATTTCTTTTCTGACAGCAACAGAGGCGGGCCGGAAATGAAAATTTTCAAGCTCGCTAATTTTGCGAGGACAAATGAATTAATTTGGCCGGTCTCTGGGATTTTCCAAAATTGTCATTTTTCCAACCACACGCGCGAATACATCTCTCGCTTTTCGCTCGGCCTCTTTTGCGCTCGCCGAGGGCCAAAATCATTCTCGCTCTGGCTGCGGCGCCGCGTAATTGAAAAGCCGCCGAGAACTCGTTTCCAGAGCCGGCGGATGAGCGGCGGACGAGTTTTTAGTTTTGCATTTCGCGCGCGGCCAAACACACGCGGCCGCCGCCGCAATTAGGCCGGATTATTTTGCCCCTGCATTAATCGGCCCTCGGCTTCCTGCTCTTTGCAAATGCATTTGACACTAATGGCGCCGGATTATAGCCGGTCTATAGCAAATATTTAACGCGCCCTCTCGGACCAATTTTGAGTCTAATACCCAAAAAAGCCGCTTCGGAAAGTAATTTATATACCAGGGCCGACGGAGCAAACTCGAAAGCTGCTCATCAACCTTGTCCAAATTGACAAACTAATTATAACTTTGTGAGCTACTTCTCGTCCGTCTCTCTCACTCTCTTTTTGCCGACGTGTGTGCACTTCGAGTTCGTCTAATCACTTAGTTATAACCGCGAGACCCACAGGAGCTTGCCGAAATTGAAAAGTTTTTTTTACCTGCCGCAATCCGTTGTATAAATTTGAAAACCTTCGTATTTTTGGTCAGTGTTTTGACATTTGTTCCTTCTTAAAACAGTTAACGTTTTGGTCTTCAAAAAACGCATCGACACGCATTGATTATTATTGTTGTTCATTCCACTCATGTTATTACAAAAATTGGTAAATGGACAAACAATAGGATTATGAAAACTTTTTTTTATTATTTTTTTTTTATTAGGGCCAGGCCAAGACAAAACTAAAAGAGGTTTGAAAATAAAACGTTGACTATATAAAAAAGTAAAAAAAAAAAACGTAAAAATATGCCATTTATAAAATGCTCTTCAGATTGGTATTTTAAATATTGAGAAACTTTGAGAAGAAATTTATTAAAAGAAATAAAAACTAGATGAATCTGCTTCTCTGTTTAAAAAAGAAAGAGGAAAAATTATTTATGAATCAGAACTTTTTCTTTCAAACCAAATTCTCACCTAGATAAGTGAAATAATTTATATTAAAATCATCACATTATTTGTTTCCAAATTTATTAATTTGCAAAAGCATCTTCTATTTTTTAAATTTTTCCAATGTGAATGTAATAAATTAAAGCATTTAAACTAAATATATAACCAAATAATTTGAACTATTTCAGTAAAGGAATCAAAACTAATGGAAACCATTCACGAATTGATTTTTCTTTCCAATCTCTTAAGATATTTTTTGCATTCATTTATTCAACAGTCTTTCCTCCTCGTCATTAAATGTCAAAGCCTCTGAAGCACCTTTGTCGGGGAAAGTTTGCAACCTAATCCAAATGTCAACGATACGGTTTTGAATAGAAAGGTCTAGAAATTTGAGGCTTAAGAGTCTCTCTTTGAAGGGAAAAAGTTTCTGCGTAAACAGAGAATTCGGGCATGAATTCCGAACATGGATTCCCTCTTTTCCAATCCCACTTCGCCGATCGGAGCACACACGAAGTACATGAGCGGAGCCACTATTAACAACCACATCGCACACTGCTGATCGAATTCCACGGGCTCTCTGCATGTAAAAAGCCGGGCCGAAATGGAGGCGCGCGTCGTAAACGAGCTCGCTTTGAACTTTGTCAACTAAATCCGAGAGAGAGCAAATCACGTCTCGCATAAAAGCGGTCCCGGGAGATGAGAGTGCGTAAAAATCGGATAGGCCATATTATTATCGCGTGAGAGCGAATCTTCGGCAAAACGAATCCGAGATCATTTATAGATTTGCACGTGTTTGCTCCGACTGACAGACAGTTCGCAAAGGAAAAAACCGTTGTGAGGAATAATCCGGTCGTAACGAGAGTAGCTCTTGCGATTGCGACTCAACGTCCCAAATAATGTCCCCTTTGATGAAGCCGCCGAATCGATACGTTTCAAATGTGCCTCCCAATCTTTTAAAAATATCCGATGTTGATAAAAAAAGTGACGGGGAAAGAAATATCAAAAAATTTTAACAAGGAGCTTTTGGTATCTACGCTGAGACCATTTCATATTTTAATTAATGCAAATTTTGATATCGACCTACCTTTGGTTTTTATTACTGTTCCTTCATTTGGGCAATATTATCGTGATTTAGGGGAATTTTTATCAATTTGAAAAATAAAATGTCTCAAAAAATATACCATGGATTAATGTCAAGTTTAAAAAATTCTGTTGTCCTGGTAAATTAAATAAAAATAAATCGTGCTGATTTTTAGCAGAAAATATACTCCTCGCTGGGCATTTTCAGTCGTTTGTGTTTCACAGATAAACAATATTCTCAGCACACTGGACATGTTTTGGGTGGAAGAAAAAAATTTAGTTATTATTATAAAATTATTATTTTTATTTTTGGTTGTTTAGAAAATCAATCAAATTTTGCAATTTCCAAAATAAAGAAAATTGCATGTTTTCTTGACGCATAAAAATTTAAAGTGGATCATTGATAATGTGTAAAATAACCTAATTTCTTGACTAGAATCTTCAATAGGTAAATTAAAATTGTAATAATGAACACATAAATTTTTTCTGTGTCTCTCAATAAATTAAAGGAAAAGACGGCATAAAATTAAATTCCCATGAACCAATTTCCGATCATGAAATTCTTCAACAAAGAGAAGAAAATAATCCCTTCGCGAAAAATAATATCGCTTCTCCAAAGCTTATTGACGAGCTGTTTGTTGTAAAACTTATAGCAGTATTTGCATGAATTTGCAAGGAAAATTGGAAAAATTCGAATTTTGTGACGCGAATATTTTCAACGCAAGCGACTCTCCCAATTCCCAGGCGTGTAAACACGAGGCAGTTTGCCTTTGCGCCGGATGAATAAATAAACAGAGCCAGGTTTCCAAATAACGAGCTTTGCAAATAGAGAAAATCCGCGAGTATTTTTTGCATCGCTTTTCCGGCGGAAAAGAGGAATATTCCTGAAAACGTGGGCCGAAAAAAAATGCCTTCCGCTTCGAGTAAAAGGCAAAGCAGCCCTCATATGTACTTTGACAAACCGCTTTTCGCATTATGCAAGGTCACAGCGTGCAGGAGCAAAGATTTCCCCGTGCGCATATTAATCAGATTGAGCTCTCGGGGCTCGCCTCTCGAATGCGAGCCAACATGCGAACGTTTTTAATTAAACGCACAAGACGACGCGGCCGTTCTGCTTTTAACTCCGCCCGAGGTTGGATTTGCGTTGACGAGCAAATGGAACTTGGTCATGATAATTAAAACAAGCTGAGATTTAGAATCATATTTAATGCATTTAAAGTTTATTGCGCATTGTTAAGTTAAAAAAAAAAACGTTTGCTACACTAATCATATTTTGTATAATTTAAATAAAACGGAATTCTATTTATTTAATTTACCAAATTTACAACTTAATTTATTATTTTAAATCTTGATATATTTTTGGTAAAAAAATTATAATCATCGTGCGCAGTGTTTAGCTTGCAAGAACTAAAAACATGTCAAAAATTTGAATTTTAAGAATTAATATATTGCAAACCTCAACAGCAGTGAAATAAGAATAAGTTTGTAAATAAATTCTCTCGTACGTGTTTTGTTCAATTTATTTTAATTTTTCCCCCTTCAATTCATTTCACCTAAAAAACGCAAGTTACGCAAGATAATAATGATGAATAATTATAACAATAATGAAATGTATAAAAACAGAGAACGCTATGGATTATTTTATTCATCTGGCAGGGGCTATATTTCTAAATTAACGCTATTGTTGCCTACTTTAACCTCCTTTAAAATTCGTATCCATTTCAGGACGCAAAAGCAGAGCAGTGCAAGTTGATTAATCAAATTTAAACAAAATCTCTATGCCATTAGACTTGAAATAATTGCTTGTCAGTATAGGTTTTAATATCCATTTAATTTGTTGTGTTTTAAACAAGAATTAGCCCTGATTGCTTTTTTACATTAAATTAAA